CACCACCATAAAAGGTACAGTGTCTTTTCTGACAGTCTAAGACATAATTGTTTATTCTACCAAGGTGCCCTCTAGTAAAACTTCCCCAAGCAAAGTGTAACAGCAGATCTAGTGAGGGCTGACTTGCAAAAGTAAAATAAAAAACTAATCTGCATAGAGTAGTGGCAGAAAACATCCATGAGTTCCTGCTCTCGTAGCCAGACCTTTCAGCCTTCATGTAGCCCCCTCAGTCTTTTCTTGAAGCTTTCAGCTCAGAACCAGCGCAGCACTTGATAACAAACCTCATTTAAAATTCAGTCAGCCACCACTGCACAGTGCTTGCTGTTAACGATTGCTGAGACCAGTGAAGATTTAAAAATAATTTAAAAAAAAATAATAATCCTGGCAGTAGTACCTCTGAAGTTCAGAAACCAAATGTTAACAGAGTCCTGCCGGGCGGCTGGCCTGAGCAGAACCCTGTTCTTTCATCACCAGTAAATGCTCATCGCCAGTGGCTGTTGCTGCGGACGGGATGTGACGTGTTCCCTCTGCCTCAGAGACCCGCCCTGTGACGCTGTTGCCCAGCCTCAGCTCGCAGACTGGATGGGGAACAGTCCTCGGACAAACTCCTCCTCCTGAGCTGCCGAGGCTAGGGTGGTGTTAGTGCCATGCATGCCCCTACCCGGGGGGGTGCAGCCAGCCTTACTCCACAGCCCCTGTTGTTCAGGTTTCCTCAACAGCGGTTGAGAGTCTCTCTTTACATACCCGGTGGTCAGCTGATTCCCACCCTTTTGTGGGAGTCCAGTCACTTCTGGTAAAAGCTGCCAGGAAACTGCTGTCAGCAGTGGACACGTTTGACTCCACGCAAATTCTACCTGCAGAAACTGCCCCGACTTTGAAGATCCAATTACAAATTGTTAAGCATAACATTTTTGTTCAGCACAAGTAGGAAATTTGTAAAAGTTACATTTTTGCGGTAGATAAGCTGTTCTTCTAAAGTCTGCTCCACTTCATCAGCATCCTAACTTGGCACTCATTGGGCTGTGCAGTATAAAATCTGTTCACCGGGGCAGTGATTGTTGGAGACCCGTTTGTCTCAGTTAAGCCTTCTGGTGCTACTGCTAGTTTCTAAGCATAGAATCTCCAGGGCTGGAGGCATTTTGATATTATTTCCATCTGGCTTCCTAGTTTAAGGCTGAATATCACAATATACATGATTAAAAAGAAAATACACTAAGGATTTATATTGGTCTTGCAGAAGTTAGTTAACTTCCTTCAGTGACATTAACTACCACTATCAAGTGAGGCGGATTTAATATGTAATAGGAAGAGTTCAGAAATAACTGCAAATCAAAGAGATTTTACAAAGTTAGTTATTCTTCAAGCATCTAGTCTGAATAGCAAGTTTTACTGATAATTTCAAGTTTAATATTTCATAGCAGTAATGTTTAATATTAGTATTTCATAGCGAAACCCCTTCTACGTAGTAAAATCCAAGTCCATACTTGGATGTTTTAGTGCAGGGGCTAGTGTAGTTTTGGGTCTGCTTATGAAAGACTGACCCTTCTTTCTTTTTCAGCTGAAAATGGTGAAGGCTTCCATATAATTCTGAAGTGATGTCACACGATTGCTAGACCGATACTCCAACACCGAATGAAGTCCTGCCTAAAGATTATGAAGATCATCCAAAACCTTAGGATCTAACTTCACTGTATAAGATGTTTCATATTGAAAACACAAAATGACCTTTCTAATGAGCTGTTTGATAGGTGAACTTTCTTATCACTGCCATAGCTAAGTGTCCTCGTGAGAGGTGTAATGCCATGACAGCTTATGTACAGGCATGGAAGGCAATGTAAGCAAAGGTGCTTGCCCTTTACTGAAATAAGGCAAATTATGGCCAGTAGATACAGTTTCTAGAAGCGAAGCCCTCTTGCTGCTCTATTACCTGTATCCAGTTGGAGATGAATGTAAACTTATTTTGGGGCATTTACCTTTCTGTGCCAGTTTGTCTATTACTTGCTTGTACCTTATGCTGGTTTTATTTTTTGATGTGGACAGAGCACATACTAATCTATGTGGAGCTGAGTAGTTACGCTGATAGTGATCAGGTTGTTGGGTCTTTCAGAGTAAAGCTGTCAAAACAGCTTCCCGTGTAAATTGTGTATAAGAGTGTATGTAAGAAGTGTAAATGCCAGAACAGGGCTTTTAAGAAGCCCTAGACAGATGCAATATATGCATGCAGCAAACTGCATTATCAATAGTACCTTATCGGAGGGATTAATATAAATCCTGTGGGGTACCAAGTAATTGTGTTTTGCTTTAACGAATTTAATGGAAAAGAATTGCCTATGCATCCTTTATGTTTAGTTTCCTAGGTTCTCTGCGGAGCACTGCTGCAGTTTAACTCTTTGCTTGTAAAATTGTGGGTTTAAAAATACTAGCGGTCAGCGGTGGATTTTTATGACTTAGTGGAATGACGCTGACGAGGGAAGACGACCCACGGGCAGCACAGGGCTGTGTCAGCTTTCAGCAACACCAAGTAAATTGCTTCAGAAACACTAAACACACACCACTTACGTCCCCTTCCCAGCAGGTAAAGCCTTGCTGTAGTTGCTACAATGGACAAGTATCTTCCTTACCTGTTCTGTTGACTGCTCTTCCCCCCGGGATCCATGCTGTACAGCTGTTACAGTGCCTCTTCCCTCTGACCAAACACTGACTTCACTTTGAAACAGGCAGTGTGCTTTCTCAATGGTTTGGAGATTTCTTCTTTTGTGAAGACATGGCACAGCATTTCCTCTGTTAACGTTGAGTTTCAACTGGTCAGGTACTTGGAGGGGAAGATTTCAAGAGGTATTAAGTGACAGTTTCATAGCTGTCATTTTGTGCCTTTGAAAAGTTTCACCTTGATCTCTGGCTTAAAAGCCTGGGACTAGTTTGCTTTTTATGCTGCAGTCTTCAGCGTAAACAACTACTACAGCATGTGAGCGAGCAGCTTTGATTTTCTTCATTCCCTCTTTCATAACTGGCTCAAGTGCTTAGCAGAAAAGCTTCTTACAGCTGCAGCATTTTGAAAATTTGAATTCATCAAAGCTAGAGGTTTTTTTCCTATTTTTATTTTTTCTGCACTGAAAGTAAAATTTTATGTACTTATTAAACATTTCTGCCTATGAGTTGTTCATCTTTGGGTATTGTTTGGTCCTAGTATTTTCTCAAACTGACACTCGTGTCTTTTCAGCTCGCACCATATTCAAATCCAAATGTTTTATAAAAGTGGAAAAATCCTTGATTGGAAAGTATCCAAATATCTAATTTTAAAGAATATTGAAAGTTGTACAGTAGTTTGTCCAGCTCACTTGAAATTGGAATTAAATTATGGCACCAGCAAATTGCTTTTGTTTTTTAATAAGATGTACACATTTCAATTTAAGTATAATAAATGTTTTTCAATAATTTTGTAAATGTGCCTTTCTTTTTGTTTACTCCCTCTCGCCCCCATTAGAGCTACTCCTGTTGCTCAGACTCAGATCAGCTGCAAGGCCTGCCCAGCACTGCTGGTAGGTGAAGCAAGGGAAGCCAACCCGCGCTCTCGTTTATCCTGCACCCAGCGCGCACACACACACGGATGTTCTGCTTCTAACAGAAAATTTAGGTGAATTTGAAATAATTGAAACGAATTCAAATTTGACATCAGCTGATTGTTTATTTAAGTGTCCTATATCAGAGTAGGTTCCATTTGGCTTTGTACACCTTTAATGCAGTAGACTTACAAGGTTCGTTATGTTCTTAGGAAAAAATGAGCCAACAAAAGGCAACACGTTTCGCCATACTGGTACCAATAACTTTCCTGGTACAGTTGAGAATAAAATCTGCTTAAAACTATTACAGGAGTATCTTACTAGAGCTTTAAGGGTGGTTGTAAGAACACTCCTCCACTACTGGGCAAAACAAGCCCTGATTGGCTTATTTTGTAGTAGTAAAGAAATCCACGTTCTGTGCTCTGGGCAGTAGTTTAACCTCAAATTTACCATCCCCATCGTCTGTGAAGGTGTGAAGCATGAATGCAACCCAGCTGCTGTTACCCATCAAAGTCTCTTGATGTTCATACTCCTTCTAAAAAGTAGCACAAAATTTTGGGGGGAAATTGCAGTACTATCCAGTAGTGGCTTCTCCAGCTGCTTTTTAAGCCAGTATTTCTATTAGTTTTCAGTAAACACACAGGCCCTGAACTCTTAGAACATACACACACAGAGTCAACCTTACACAAAAAAGCTTTCTGAACTGTTGAGTAGTTCATCTCAGATAATTAAGTTGCTTGATATAAAAAAGGTTATTTTTTCTAACCCTCTACCACTGAAAAACTAAGGATGAAAGCATGGCCTTAAGAGTTAATACATAGATTTTATTATTATAATTATTACCATTCAGAAGTTGACAGCTTCTTAAATAACCCAAGTGTGAAGAGTTTGGCTTTCTACATTTGAAAACCACAGGTTTGGTTTGGCTCAGCTCCTGCCTACAGCTTTACTTGCTGGTCTGCTTGCTCTGTCCCTGAAACGGGTGGGACCAACGGCTCGAGCCAAATTCCTCGCTCCATCACAGTTCCCATAACTGAACCTGGTTTCCACTTTTCATCTGTAGAAAAGCACGACCAACGCACGCCTCTGCCCGGAACGGCTGCGTCCTTTCCTTGCAAACAGAGGAGGGCACGAGGACACAGGAACGGCGTTACAGTCAGCACCATGAAGGATGGTGACAGCCAGTGACAGCAGAGTGCACGAGCTCTGCTGCGGTGGATTTCTTGCCCCTTGAAAGGCTGATGGCATTGGGCATAAAAGGTCCTTCAGTGACGGGCAAGCTTGACACTAACATAGTTCAACTGAACCAAGTTCCAAAACCTGGGAAGCATTTCTGTTTATACAGTTGCCTTGAGGTCCTGGCTTGCTTACCTTCTGACACATCACCTATTATGTCCTGTTACGTAATTAAATAGGAAGCTGACTCATGGAAAAGTATAAGCTGTTTTGCTGTAAGAGCTCATGATTACCTTGCATTTTTTGGTCAACATCTGCTAAAGCTGATTTGTCCTTAAACCTGATACTGAAACTGTCACGTATAGTACAGAACAGCAGGTTCAGTTCCTTGGTGTGATGGGCTTGAGCCCCACCTTACGTTAGAACTTCACACTGAGCAGCGCTTACAAATGAAATTAACTTCCAAGCTCAGTGAACTGTCACCAGGAGCTGAAATGCCCACACATGTTACACAGGATGTCAGTTCTCATGCCAACAGAAGGAAGGAGTTACTAATACAAACCGAAGCATCACCAACTTAATCCACAGCTGCACATTACGTTAAGATTTTAACCTGGAAAAAAATGCTTTTCTTGTCACAAAACTGGATGACCAGACACCACCATCAGGACTGTCAGGAAACCGACTCCTTCCACTGACTTGCAGTCCCATTCTTCAACAACAACAACATTTTCTGTGTGGTTGCACTTACTGTCAAAGGATAATACAGCATCTGCAGAGGCGCTGTCCGCTCCCTCCTACCGAAGGAGGGGGAGTTACTGGAGCAAAGTAAGCATGAACTTTCACGTGAGGTAGATGAGCCTGTGGAGGAAAGTCTGCGTTACAGCAGCAGAGAAATAAACCTAACTAACTAGTAAAAAGCAGTACACCTCAGCTACCACGACAACTCAGCTCTCATGGAGGTTGGCTAGCTAAAAAGCAAACATCTATACACTTGATACTATCCAAGCTGTCTCCTGACCTGTAACTCCCATCCCACCCAGCGAAGGCACCCTGATGTCAGGGCACACGCACCTGCTCAGGGTTCCTGCTTATTTCCCAACAAAGCGCTGATCAGCCCAGAGAGCTCCCTGTCAGGAGAGGCATGTGTGCTGCTGCAGGGGGGAGACCGACCCCGACCCCTGGCTACCGAAGACAGACTCATCAGTATCTTGTCTCCCATAGTCCCTGCTTCTCTTACCCTAGAAAGCAGGATGGAGTAGAATTGGGCACGTGCCCTCAGTGGTCACTATCAGGGATGAGCTTTCCAACTGCAAAAGTATTTGGATGCGAATCTGGGCCATGAAGCTGCAACCAAGCTGAACAGTAAGGCTTAAAACATACCTATCCAAGGTAGGCAGTCCCTGACCTAACTGGAGGACGAGAGTTCATGGCTGGATTCCAGGGTCCTACGACCCATTAGCTGAAATCTGCGTGCACTTGTTTCACTATTGGCTCTGAATGCCACTACGCAAGCCTAAAAACAGACGCCTGTATTTGAAAAACTACAGAAAGCAGAAGCTAAGGATTCCTCGTTCCAACAGCAAAAGCGTCCTGAGTTATCAACAGGATTAGACAATTATTACTGCTCATACAGAAAAGCTACATTTCCTCCCTAGTGGTGGGGACCTAACAGAACGATGCTCAGACTCTGTTTTCCATCCTCCCTTGCCTGGGACATTTGCAGGATTCATACGATCTCGAGCAGTATCAACGGCTCGGGCCTTCCCACCGAAAAGTCAGCAAACACGTACTCGGATGCGTTTGATTCCAGCTCGCGTGACTTGCTGGCAGTCGTACAGCTCAATTCTCTCCAAGTTGTGGCAGTTCTCCAGGTGTTCCAGAGTCACGTCAGTGATGAGAAGACAGTTATCAAGCTCTAGTACCTGCAGCCTCTCGTGACCACACGTACTGTTGCTCAGATGAAGAATCCCATCATCAGTGATCAATTCACAGTGAGATAAGCTCTAAAACAGAGAGGCAAACAGTTAATGACACCACTCAGTCATAAGTTACTCTATCCTCCAAACATCAGAAGTCCTCTTCAACCTCCTTCATTCTGGTGGTTAAACAGTTACAAAGCATACACAGCTGAAATCCAGAGGAGTAACAGAAGAGACAGTTCTGCTTAACAAAACAGCTGCACTTTAAACCACATCAAAACCAGTAGAGTCCCAAAACACGTGTCACTGGCAAAGCTCCACAGGCCCCGTTGCTCACTGAACGTGGGGATTCTGCTCCAGTCGCCACACACCTCCATTACTGATGGCTGCAACCAGCACATGGGCCATGCCAGAAACAGGAGACAACTTTGACGGGAGGATCCAGAAGACACAGGAACAGAGGAGGCTCTACTGACAGGAGTTACTGTTTCACAGCTACCGTGTTTTCATACATACTGCCAGGATCAAGCCTGTGCAAGTCCACATAGATAAAGAACAATCAAATTTGACTGATTTGCCAAATAATGATTTCAAAAAAAAACCCGTGAGCACTTAGCACCTCAGGCTGTGCATACAAAGAGTAACAAACATCTTGTACAGCTGCAGGAGCAGGTCTTTTTTGCAACAGTCAGCACAATACACTAAAAAGTTCTGCTCCTCTTTAGCATATTTTTTTACTCCCTTGAATTTCCAGAGCATGGGAAAAGCTGCAGCGTCTCAGGCAGTAGCACCACATAAAGCAGCTTCCTGGTTCCCCATGACTTTTGGAGAAGCAACAATGATGACAACAGGAAACAGACTTTCCTCAAGGAGGCTTAAAAAAGCACTCTAGTCACCAGTGAGATGAATGCTCTCAAGTCTTCTCCATTAGGAATGTGCAGTATCTACGAACTCTTACTCCTCCCGCTCTGGGCTAGGTCCTCGCTTTACGCTCAGCCCTCTGTCTTGCCTGTGCTTGTATCCGAGTCTAACGGTGACTGGTTTTGAAGCAGCACCTCCTTGCCACACGCTTTTTTCAGACGGCAACTGATGAAGAAATGCTCGCAGCAGTCCAAAAATGCTTTTTAACTCAGTACAAGCTAACTAGCCCTCAAAAGTACCTCCTGCCAATCATCCAAATCAAACGTGTAACCCTTCCCTCCTCTCAGTACATCACATCTACCTGCTTCTATTTCAGCCCGAGGACCACCACCCTTACCCTTACTTTACCTCAGCAAGAATCACAAGAATTTCTTGCCTGCGACCAGACACAGGGGGTCTGTCCTGCCCTTTAGAACAACTTGCCCCTCAACTTTTTGTCTCCTTTGCTCAACAGGATGGACAAGTGACCAGAGAAGAGGGCTGGGAGACAGGACTGCAACTGCCTTCGAGTCCAACAGGGAGCCACCCTGGCAGCGTCCCTTTAGCTCCAGCTGGTCCAATCTTACTCACTCCCCAGGCGTGAGCAGCTGGCAGCGACTCCAAGCAGCACCACAACTAGCCCGTACTGTCTCCAAAAGACAACAGAAACAAAGCGCTCGCCCCTGTCAGCAGCGTTTTATCTCATGGCACGTTGACGCTCTGCGAGGCTGTCGGCTCCTTAAATACTGAAGTTCTCTCCTATACCTGCTGGCTTTATGCGGGTGTTCTGAGCATCTGATTTGGCTCACAGCCTGGAAACAATCAGCAGTTGCAGGGTTAAAGAACATTTATAGCGGCCTGCCGTTACAAGGAAGGACAGGAGGTCATGCGAAGCTGTCAGCTACAGCAGCCGTCTGCTGGCTAATTAAGAGTTTTCCGTCCCAGGAAGTAAGCGGCTTATAAAATCAGCTTTCCTGAGACACTGTAGTTGGTACTGAAAGGACAACACAGGATGCACAGCTGAGTTCGCAGAACTTTGTAAAACAAATACACCAAACGACACATACTTTGTATTAAACCACATGATTTCTCCAAGTTCATAAGCCTGTTAGAAAGTGTTAATAACGTGGAATTTTACAAAGACAATTGCTTGACATCTTTAGAGCCAAGAGATATTCTTTTTGTTTGTTAGTACACAGTAAATGCTGTGTATAAATCAAGTATGACGTGGTATACCATGACACTAAGAAACACTATGATCAACTTAACTGAGGAATTCAATTGTCTTCTCCTCTCCAGGAATATCACGAGTATGTCACAGTTAATCTGAATGTACAATTATTAAACACTTTCACCAGAATTTACTTAAGTCCAGTAAGTAATAAAGCATTTGAGTACTCTGATACTGAAGATGATTAATAGTTGGTTATATTTGGTCTAACCTTTGCTTTTGCTTATTTCCACTGTCTACTGAGTCTCCAAACATCAAGAAACAAATTCAAAGTTGATTTCTGCAACTCCACAATATTTGTTTAAACTGCAAATATACCTAAACTATGCTAAAGCACAGCTACACAAGAGTTCACAGAACCATCAACAGTATGTGATTTCACATTTGAAGTATCAAGGTTAGTTCACGTAGGGTATTTGGCACCTGCTGGTCTGTTTTGTCTTTCCCTGTAATTCTCTGCCATCACTGTTCACTCACAATCTTTGAGTACGTATCCTTCTGACACACAGGATATACGCATCAACAAATAAACAAACAAAAAAATCAATTTTTCTGGTTCCCTTAGAAAAGGTATGTTATTTTACCAATGCCACACTTCCCTGTCTGTCAGCTAACATGCAAAGGCCAGAAAACAGAAGCAGGTTCAGAAAAACACTTGGGAGTTGTGAGGTTTCGTGGTATCTCTGGTGAAACACTGGCAGAACTAGTACAAAAGATCTGCAAGTACTGGTTACAACTGGGATGACAATACAAAAACATATCCATTGCAGAAGAACAAAGTCTCCCATATGAATGGCTCCACACCTCCTGACAACTCATTCGGCTTAACATTAAGAGCTGTGGCACAGAAATGAGGTCAAACAATTAATAAGCAAAACAAAAAAAACAACAACAAAAAATAGTGAACAAGCTTCTTTTAAAAAGTCATCTCTCATGTTGCTACCTTAGTAACACTGAGTCACACCAACTAATCATAACACAATGTAATTAATGAAGCAGAAAACCTTCCTTTAATCCCACCAAAGAACAGATTAAAAAGATACTTGTTGTCTCATGTCGGTCTGAAGTGGTGTATAACAAACCTACGCCTTATGGGACAACTGCCCCTAAATACAGGAGCTCCTATTGTAAGGACAGTCTAGTAATTCTGGAGTACTTTGACAGAAGAACAGCCAAGTTCATGTCACCTGAAATTGTTTTTGATGTTCTGACAGATCTAAGCAACCTAGAAAACAGTTCTCTGAAGTACAGTAAGCAGGGTACCCCACTGAAGGCATCTCAATCCTCTCCAATTACGTTCAAAAGTCTAGGTAAAAAAAACCTGCCATAATTTACTACATAAACATAGTCCTTGGGAAAAACAGCTCGCATGCAAAACTGATTACAGAGTGATTACATTTATCTTCACTGGCTGGTTTTGTTTATTCAATATTTGATGCAAAGTGTCATAATCCCCAAGAAAACCATTAGTGAACACTTAAAGAGCATCTATAAAGAATCCGAGTACTGCAAGTTGAACTACGTAATCAAATATGAAGGATGTTAACCATAAAATATGAGCTTTCTGGTTATTACTCACTGATTTGGTAATTTTTTTTAATCATGCAATGCATGTAAATATTTTAGGAGTGATCTGCTTCTTTCAGAATACTTAGAAAGCTTGCATGTGTTTCGCACAGCATCACACTTCTTCAGGAACTTTTTCTAGATACAGAGCGAACAGCCTGTTTTGTACTGCAGGAGTTGTGTATGTGTATGGTTTTGGGGGATTAAAGTTCACAAAGAAAAAGTTAAACTTACCAATGCTTGTAGCTTAGGACAGTGTATAGAAAGTTGTATCAATGTGCTGTCAGTTATCTAGAAATAAAAGAAACCAAACCACCATAAGCCACAGACAGCAGGAGAGTCCATGCTCAAGTAAGGTCTCTCTCTCTCTACCAGATGAAGGTTCTGTTATTTCTGGTAAACACCCAATCACCCACTACTCTTCAAGTCCTTTTCTGTATAGAATTTCCTAATAATTGTTTTTATTTACTATCATAAGCACAGCACTACTAATAAAAAACAAAGCACATCTAACAGAAAGTGCTAATGCACTGCATTCTCACACTGGGCATTCAATATTCTTTTTCATATTAAATCTCACCAAAACACACTCTTCCAGGTCCATCTTCTCAAGCTCATGGCAATTCTAAAATAAAAAACAAACAGATAAACAGAAGATGACATAAAACAACATATAGACATAAAACCATGCACAGGGACAGTAATTTGGGATAGCATGGCTTCCAAGAGGAAACTGCAAGCTAAATCCCTCAAGTACTTGATCACCAGAGGACAAAAACCAGTAAAAAACCCCCAAACAAACAAAAAAACCCCACAAGCAATACACCACCTTCCTCTCTGCATTTCAGCTTTTTTCTTACTAAATGAAGTGGCTCCTCCATTGCCCACTGTGGATCAGTACTCACCCGCCCCTGCTTCCCTTCCCCTTTTGGGGTCAACTTCAATTCAAACCTACGGCACTTACGGCCTCTGCACTAAAGCCAACTGACCCACCTGCAGATGAATCCAACTTCTGCGTACGTCAACCTGCACCAAACTCATCTGAAACACCCTTATGCCCACAGAACACCTCCTCACCATCACACGTTAGAAAGAAGCCTTTCTAACTCGCTTTGCTGAAAATACTAAAATAGGGTCCACTTTAAGGCTGGGAGAAAGCTGCACTTCACATTTATACAAGCAATCCTCCCAATATCCTGAGGGATCCCTAGCAAGCTTTTAGAAGCGTTTTCAAGATCTGATCATGACTAATTGCAAGAAGATGATGTAACCTTGTGACCTCGCAGCAGACCACATGGTGCCACGGCTCAGCCAAAACCCCAACCCGTTATCGGCAGAGGAAGAAATGGTTTCACTTGCAGCTCCCTGAAGCAGGCCTGACTACAAAAGCCCAAAGCCTTAGTGCTGAATTATTAGAAAACCACTCTGTTTAACCACTGCAGCTAGGAAAAACCCCTTTCATTCACACTAAATATCAGCAGCATAAATGAATCCTATTTACAGAGTACTATTTTTGTGTTCAGATTTCTGAAAACAGCGAGCATGCAAGGCTAGCCTGAAGCATTTGATACCACCAATATCCTTTCTTTACACGTTTACAGCATGAATCAGGGCACATGTGTTTACAGTTTACAAAGTATAATATAAGTATTTTTGTAATTTAAAGGTATACTCAGAATAATCTATTATATACTGATTTTTTGGGTGTAAATATCACAACGGTATGTGTCATCTTTATAGGGGAAATTTGGCTAGAATACATAACACAAGAATTATGTTAAGCACAATTAATTCCATTGAAACACGTTTTAAAAAGGGAGGAAAAAAGTGAAAAATGCAATGATAGATGGCAAAATAGATCAGGTTGCAGCTCTAAGCAGAATCCAGAAATAAAATCACTTTTTAGTCCCCTCCTCCACTGGGTCCTTCCTGCTTTATTTTTCTTCTTCTCATGTTCCTTCCCAGCAGGACTACACCAATTCACAGCTGCTCAGCAGCAATGAAAACAAGGCAAGCTCTAACCTTCTGAAGTGACCCTTACCCGTGCTAAAAGGGTAAAACCAGCATCTGTAAGATGTGAACATCTTGCAGCTTCCAAAATCCTGGAAAAGTTTTAAATGTTAAAGAAAATATTAACATACAGAAAAGCAAATGCATTTAAGATACAAATCTGTCTTCTGCAACTTAAAGCATTCCATAGCAAATGCATATAATATGCCTATTTTTCACAGTGATTTGCAATTAAAAAGCACTAGGCAGACTTTTGAGCCAGCTTATCAGAAGATTCTAATAGTCACAGAACAGAGCAAGTTCAACCCTCAAATCTTCTCAACATTTAGTGGAAAAGAGTTATACATAATTATAGGCATTTTAACCTCTTGTTTCAGTAAGACAGCACAACACTCAATTTTTCTCATGTGTTATCTCAGGAAAGATGGGAGGATAAACCCTGAGTTAAGGAAAATGGAGGTGAAGCCAGCTTCTAAAACTTGTTATTTAAACAGAGGATCTTGGGAAGCCACAAACCTGAGAAACTGCTTACTAGAAACTCACTCAGAGCCTCTCCACAAAGCACAGCAAAGCAAGTTACCAGAAAAGTGAGGAGCTAAAAAAAAGGCCAAGTGCCCCCGACAGCACCAGTAGTATGCAGAACAGGCCTTCATCCCATTGATGCTTTGTTGTCTTTGGTTGGTTGGTGGTTTTTTTTTTTTAAATGAACGCTTTTTAGTTTGCAGGTGGAGTAAGTATCAAGCTGAGTAAGGCGAAACCGCAACTCGCCCGCTCACCACAGGAAACACTACTTCTACACTGGGGTCAGTGAGGAGGAGGCAGGGAAAGAAGGACAAAACCTCTTGCTGTGTGAACACTTAGAGGCATCTAGATCCTTCCACGGATTTAGGAGGTCATTAGAAAGCTCGCTCCCTCTAGAGAAACTGCAAAGGGAAAAGCCATGCTGTGTGCATAAGAAAAATACAACCCCCCCCCCGATGTGGGGCTCTGACTGTGACTTGGCTGGATCAGTCTCTTCCAAGCCACAAGCAGGAGCACAGCTCAGTTTAGGGGCAAGCAGCCCCACAGGGCAGGGCACACCCTTGAAAACGACTTCCAGAGCGCTAGCCTTCAACAAGGTTCAGAAGTATGATGGAAACTCAGGAACAGCCAACAGAGAGGTACAAGACAGGTACCGCTTCCCAAACGGAAGGTTGTAACACCTCTGGATTTTCCTTCCAGACTCACATTTGGAAACTTTGTGCCCTTCCATCAAGTGCAGATACCAACCTATCATAAAATACTCTCAGCTACTCTGAAAACTACCTAGGATACCAAATAGGAAGGGAAAAAAACCACCACCACCAAAAAAACCATGACTGAGGTCATATTTGTTACCCTCCTTACTTCTTTCATGAAATTACTTGCTTTCAACCCCACCTACACTTACAACCATTGGATCCCCAACCCCATTACATTTCTGACTTTAAAGGGCAGGGAAAAAAAAAACCCACATCCACAGGGTCCAAAATAGTGAGGATTCTACTTACTGGACATCCGTCTGAAAAGCAGAATATGGAAACAGAGGGGTGAGAAACCAGAAGACTAGCAGCTCTGGCTTTGCTGAAGTGGGGTGTGCAGTCAGTTAGAAGAGCAGAATAGGGACAGTGAGCTTTACAGGAGAGTGAGCTTTATATACACATGCTGCATCAATCAGGCCCCAGAATGAAAAACAGGTGGGAAGGCACTGGGTCAGCATGAAAATGAGCGAAGTTCTAATTTTTGCTTTGTTTTAGGTGATTGTACTTAATTAAAGAGGGCTGCTCTTTTTTTTTTTTTCCAGATAGAGCTGTCATTTGTTTCCCATCCAATGATTCGTGACAAAGTACCTAGCATAGAAGCTGATGAGGCAAAATGATACCCAAGAGCAAATTCCCCGCTCTTATAAAGCAATGTTCTCTGAGACAGACCTCAGAGTTGCCTTCATTATCTACAGATGTGTTTTGGGCACACCTGGAGTGTCTCTGCACACAGCACCTCCCTGCTCCTGTTGAATTAGCAGCAGGTGGGTGAGAACATTAGCAGGGTTAAAGGCAATATGATCCTAATTTTCACAGCCCCACCTAGACAAAGACATTCATGGTTCACAGGTGCTTTTCTCAGCAAGCCTCACCAAAACACTTACTAGTAGTTTAATGCTAAAAAGTGCTGAAAAAGCAAAACAGAGAAGGAATCAAGCACTTAAATAAGCAGATATAAAAAGGGATGAGGGGACAGCTATGATGTAGGGGGAAAAACACAGCTGAAGGGAGCAGGTCAAGCTTAGGATTTTTTTTTCAAGGTGTTATTTGTGAGTGGTAACAGCTGCAGAACACAGCACTATCATTGAAAACAGCATAGTAGGACATCCAAGATCCTGAAGCAAGAGTAGCACAGCACATAAAATCCCCAAAAGCTTCCTAACAGGGCCAGCTCATCCAACAGAGGCAGCAGTTTTCTTTCACACTCAACACCAAAATATTCAGAAGGTATGAACAAGTGTGGAATTACATTTCCCTTTGATTTCCAAATAATTTTTATCAAGTACTTTCCATACATGATCCCAAGAGTCTAGCTGTAACCAGCTGTATCCTCTGTCCTCCCATCACACACACCCTGCAGTAATCACTGCAAAGGGTAATTTTTTCCCTCATGCTGCTCCTTATTAAAGGGGAAGAATGGCAGACGCCTCCCCCCTCGTGGCACAGACAGCGGCTAACAGTTTACGTACCAAAGGCAAAACAATTCCTGCTACAGTTTTACTGCCCTTGGAAAGAACTGCACAACTAATAGCACTTTAGACCTTTTATTTCCAATCTGAGCTGTGCATTGAGAGAATGAGAGAAATGGTGGGAAAAGACCACCAGTAACAGCACAGCTTTCTAAGGAACACAATTAAGGGTGTCAGCAGACTCCTAAGCCCCTAACACGGGCACACGTAAGCTCTTGTAACTACGAACCAGTACACGAAGGGGACTGTCACTCTGGAATTGTCTGAAGGACAGGTTTTCCACAGTAACAAAAGCTCTTTTTCACTCAATCAGCTAAAGGAACACCGTGTGTCAGCAGATTGCACGCTGGCATTTGAATGCAGCTTCCCTGAATTTTTACAATCTACACTTCCCTCCACTTATCAGTGATTGAAGTACAAGTTGTGACTTCTGCACGTTCCTGTCATAAATGGCAATTTACTGTCATCCAAAAATCTTTTGTTTTGATTTCATTTACATTAAAATTAGACCTTACAAGAAGCACATGTCTCTACAACCAGAGAACAGCTGCATGACTGAGCTTCATTATTAAAGCCGAAGCCGTCCCCACTTGAGAGAACATATCATGATAATGCATCAAAATATCACCATAACATGTATGTTAGCACAAATTACACCAATGTAAGAGTTTATGTTATTTTTAACTGATGAGCCCCTATTAGTCAAAACACATCCCATAAACATCAGTGCTCAGTGCTTGCAGAGACATTAGCACACTCCGTATCAGTTTAAGAAAGCCGGGATGTACTGCAGAGCATATTCAAAACACATTTATAATAAAAACTGTAAATGTAATACTCAGGTATGATTTAGCTATTTTTTTTGCAAGAAAATAACAGCATAAAACCACATCAGAATACAAACATCACCAGACACAACACAACTACAGATATTTTTACCTTTTACAAAATTAACGGGCTTTATATCTTCTTTTCTTCTGGCTTGTAATTAGTACCTAAAATACTTAGCTAGAAGCACAGAATTGAACTGCTAGGTTCAATGTGTTTTCTTTGTAATATATTAATTCCTGGTTTTCCACTACACAGTGGACTACATTCATATGCCAGCTACAGAGGACCAGCCCTCAAGTTTATATTCAGGTGGTACTTCTAACAATGTTTTAATTGCAAAGATAACACAAACAACACAAAGCTAAATCAAACCTGTGGATAGAAGGTGATTATCTTCAGAAGTGAATTTCTTACATCAGGCCAGTAAAAACATGACATGCTCACAACACGCTCATGACATACTCACTTCAGCCTTGGACAGTTTAGACCAAGTGCTGTGAGAGAAGCATCTGTAAGGTTGCTACAGCCTGAAACACAGAGTGACTGAAGTCTATGGCATCCTCTACAGATTTTTACAATGCCTTCATCTGAAATTTGCTGCAACACAGAAGAAGGTTGAAGTTACTCCGTTATCAAGTAATCAGCCAAGAACAAAAATCAAGTCATATTACTGAGCTATTAGTGTCACACTGTACATAACCAGGGCAACCTGTGGACTTCCAACCAAAAAACACCATCAGTAAACCATCTTTATTGATAACACTGAAGATAATCACACACACTTCCTACTTATCTATGTCTTTTTCCACAGATCTTGAGTACTGCTCAAAGGCAGTCAGAAGCACAGAGGGAGAGTTGTTTGCTGTTGTCTTCCTCCTTCACTTTGCTTTTTCTTTATAATTTTCACTTTTTTTTTTTTTTTTTAATTGTCATTATGTGAAATAGCTTGCTGCTTCTATGTTGTAGAGTTCAGGTCTTTCGTTCCAGTGACTATGGACATTCAGGAACAGTGCAAAAGAGAGCTCAAAGGTTGACAGGAGGAGACCTACCTACCTATTTTTCAATGGAGCAGTAGGACCCAAGGGTAAAAATCCTTCACCTTCGGATAATTTTCAAAGTAAGAGTTAAACACTTACATATATCCATTTTTTACAGAAGATAAAATGTAAAATCCAGGTTTGCCCTACTCTATGAAGCTGTTTTTAGCTGAATTTATCTGAAAGATTTAACTCAAAAAAGGGTTTTTCATTTATGAAAATTGTTTTGTACTAGATACCCTGAAAAAAGAAACTCTAAATTTGGAATATAAATAAAAAAGTTTTCTCTCTGAAACAAGAACTATAAGAAAAAGCCCCAATGCAGCTGCACACCAAACAGCAACAGGAACTAGGTTATTGGGGGGGTGTGCAAATATTATTTTGTTTACAGGTCTTCTATTCTGGAAAAAGCATTCCCTCCTCCTCCCACTCCTAATTCCAAGAATTTAACTTTTCTGCTCAAGGACTGATCCTTCATGACAAAACAGGTTATTTTGTTTCCTGGCCTAACATTACTCTTCCAATAATAACAAAGACCTCTACTGTATTTTGAACTGAAAATACATATTCCTTTTATAAGCCATGGATCGAGGTACACTAATACTACTACAGCATATTTCTGAGGCTGTTACCACAAACATTGCCTTTCATAGATGAAAACAGGGTGAGAAATAGCAGTAGCTCGGCACAAAGGGAGATCTTCTTATGCCCCCTCCCCCAACCTAGCATTTTTTAATATAAAAAGTTTATATTTGCAATTTTTTTCTGTCAAATAAAAATTATTCTAGACAGAAAACTAAGTCTTGTCTTCTTTTTGTGGATCCAGAAGGATTTGCATCATCTACAGATAAGAAGATAAGTGCCTTTTTTTTTTATTAGAAGTCCAAAAATCAATCGTATATTTCTGGATTTGACTCTCCAAAAAAATATTATTTCCTGGAACTGTTTTGTTTCCTTTGAGAGATACTCATGGCACTATTATTGCGGAAAGGAACTATTTTGGAGGTAAGTACCATGTAAATTTTATTCCACTGTTGGAGACGGACAAAACCCTCAAGTTATGTAAGAAAATTTTCCATTCTGAACTTCCTTGTGATTTCAATGCCTACATCCTTCTCAGGAGAGAAAAGTGCTCAAAAAACGCCTGCAAGTCCCCAGTTTCTAAGATCTTTCTCTAAAAGATGGTACCTTTCAGATGTGCAGTTTCCAGAGTTAGTATCAGCTCATTCCATAGCTGCTGGAGCTGGCCTGGCATTTTACAAGGTCCATAAAAGAGAGCTACTGGAATTAAAGTGTGGATCATACAAAGCGCAAGGAGACCTGCTGTGTAAAAATCAGTGCTAGCCCTTTGATCATAAAGGAGCCTGGCTGCTTCTGGAAGCATACTTCCAAGCCATAGCAAGCAGGACACATCTCCAGTGAAATAAAGCTTTAAAGCACACGTAACTAGGTAGGACATCCAGACTATCAACTCAAAAAATTAAAAGGGAAAAATACTTCCACTCATGAGGGGTTTTTTTGTTTGTACTCAATATCTACATGACAAGCAGCACACTGGCCAAGGAAAAACTCTGGAACCCTTCTATGCCAATGCCCCCTTTAAGCGGGAGAGATCATAGTTGATTATCATCAGACCTCCTGAAAGCCTTCCACAAAAATAATCAGAAAAGGCTGGCCTTGGTGGATCTCATTAGTGTCAGGTAAAACACAAACAGAAAAAGAACTTTTGAGGACAGCAAAAGGAAGAGTGAAAGGGGAGGAAATTACATACTGTCTTGAAGTGTGGGTCTGACCAAAAGAAGAAACTTCCTTTCATTCCTGTTATCTTTAGGGGCCCAACTTTAGTGGGCCCCTACATTCAGATGGAAAAATCTGAAAATTTTCTCTCTCACTAAACATCTGGCTCATGGAAGGTCAAGCTTTGTGTTCATATTGTTCTTATTTCTGCAATTTTTCGTGTAACCTAATAATCCCTAACACTCCAAAATGTTCAACACTTTAAGGAACTCTATTAAAGTCCAAAAATTTTCATCCAATCTTAATAAAAAATGGTCCCATGCCACATTCATTCAGGAACAACGTGTAAAACAGATTTTAAAGTTCTAGCCCAAGCAGATTTTACGATGCCTTCTAGAATAAATCTGTGGAAAACTTTCCAAAAGCAAAAACCTACCTTCATTATTCAAGTTTCCATGATTGAAACACTGAAATTCTAATTTGTTTCAATATTTTCTAAGGCTTATTTACAGCAAAGAATGAATTCAATACATTTAAAATCTAAAAGGAGATCTTTCCCATTCCTAAAGTCACATCAGAAACAACAAAAAAGCAAACACAAAATACAGCAAATCTGATTTTTGTGTACTCTCTAAGTAGAATTACAAGTACATGAATGATTCCCAGCCATTTCGTTACAAATCAATGTGTTCTTCCATTACTATTGAAAAAGCATGCCCTTTTCCTGCTACCTGGATGGTTCCAAGTCTTCTTCAGTTATAATGCCATTACATTTTACTCTTAATTATGTAGCCCAGAATATTGCTTCTGCTCAATTAGGAACCTTGAAATTATGAATAGACCAAAATGTTAGACCTTAACGGATGGGAGAACAAGAACTACATCTGTAAAACTGCATGGTTTAGCGCATGAGGTTTGAATGAATGCAGTTAATTCTTGCTCTAGAGCTTACTACAGTTAAAAAATGTAATAAGGGAAAAAAGAAAAAAAGACCCAGCGCTCCAAATCCACACTCAGCTGTAGAAACAGCCAGCTCATTTAAGACCTCTATTCCACACGAAATTCTGTAAACTGAAGAGTTGTACTATTTGAATTATTTAAGTGTGTAGCAGATCAATTCATTAGCATTCAAAAATGGTTTATGATTTTTAGAGAATGTATCTTTTAAAGCTTCAAATACTTACTGTACAGGATTGCAAATTCAGGATTACAAGTTCATGACAGTGATTTTGAATGTGTTTCAATGCTTCATCTTCTAACTGTATTTAGCAATTAAATCGGACATAGGAAAAGAAACAAGAAATTAAAAGCACAGCAAAACAGCCCAAAGTATGTACACATCTTGTAATACTGAACAAAACACTATAACAAAACTGGTATTTTTTACTTCATGGAGATTTCAAAAACCCAAAATAAAATTTTATTCCTAAAAGGATCACCCAAGCAGTTATGTACCTGTGTGCAACCTCTAAGAAATAGAGCTTTTAGTCCACTACACCCTTTCACCAGTGCTTCAATACCATCCTTCGTAATCTGATCACACCAGGAAAGATTCAAATGTTCCAGATTTCTGCAACCCTCACTGGGAGAATTAAAAAAATACATAAAGTTAAATCCAGCCTTCAAATAGTCATAACAGTGGGAAACCCAAATTAAACACACTGTTAGAAATTAATGATAGCCAGTGGACTGTGCCAGGCCTCCACAGAAAAGTCATGAGAAAAGACCACACACAAACATCATAGTCTACACCCAAGAAGTCCTAGATACAGGATACCGTCAGTGCTGATACACGGTGTTAAGGTTCAGCACTGATTTTTTTAACTTTATTAAAGGTTGAACAGCTCTTTAAATGCTTTTCTTTAACCACAAAACTCTGAGTCTTCTTACCTTAAGCCTTTCAAAGAGCTGTTTGTGATGGCTACGCAAGATGTCAGATCCAGATGTTTCAGCTTGGAACAGAATCTGCTAAGACTGTAACACGTGCTGCAAAACAGCAAGACACACTAAAAATACCTTCAGCTACTTCTTTTTCCAAGTTTTCCCATCAAACAAAAAACCTCTTTGACTTACCTGTCAGTGATTTTTGTGCATCCATTTAGATTTAAGTGTTCGATGTTTCTGCAGTTCTGCGCAAAGGTCCTAAAACAGCAACAAAAAGCTGGACAGTCAATACAATGGCACGAGCTGTAATACAGTCACCCGAGCGCGCTCTGGCCCCTGCCTCCTTCCATCTCTGTCAAAAAGCTTCATCTTCAAGTCACAGAGTAATTACAAAGTACACCTGAAATACAACTGTCTCAGTGGCTGCTTCTTCCTTTTGCTATTGCAAGTTTCTGTCTTAGGTGACTCCTGAAACTCAGTGCTGTTCCTCTCTCAAATACCTCTGAGCCAGGTGTTTATTTCTGTCACATATAAGCCAGGACCAACTTGCTTCAAATGCCTTAACTAAAAACATTAAAGGCATAAACAGAAAGGTTTAAATATCACAGCAGTTAAATATTAAGCTGCTGGGGAGAGTTTCTGCATATCTCAATACTGAAGCCTTCGTAGGTGTTATTAAGGAGCTCGCTCCCACATCAAATGAAAAGCAATGTACCTTGCAGAATACAGAAGTGGGAACTACCAATGGGAAGCCCTGTGGGTTGCAAACTAGTTATTTATGATTTTAAAAATTAAAATGCATCTGTGTGCACTACTGGGTATGAACTCTAAGGATGATTGGAGCTATTATACTGCTAAAAGCCTGTATGTATCATTATACTAATTACCAAGAAGAAATACATAAACTTTCTTTTCATCTCTGGAGAGTAATATTTACAGCTGCGTTGCATTTCAGAACACTGTTTTTATGCCCATGTTTCCCCCAACTGCATGGATTTTATTGGCAGGGGTGGAGGAAACACACAAAAACAGTTTTGTCTGGAGGCTTGCCGTGGTTAACAGATCCGACTACACATTCAGCTGGTAACAACTTCCTGGCTCTCCAGTGTGGATTGAAAACAATGGAAAAAAACCCAGCAAGCAGTTATACTGATGAGAGTTTCCACTTGAATTCTCAAAACAGCTATTCCAACATTCATGTACTGGAGGAGGATTTACAATTGAGACACTCTCCAAATCACTTGGAAAGACGCTACACTCTGGAGGACCAGCAAACCTTGCCTCTGAGACTCAAGCATGGGGCATGTCCTGACAAAGCTGCCACAAACATTCCGTATTTACAGGGACAATACTTACTTCGATAATTGGCTATTTTTAAACAAAAGTTGATGTAGAAGAAGGATAAAGAGAGAAATTACCATCGCCCACAAAACTAATGGATATGGAAACAACTCAACACAAAAAGCCAGATAGGAAAAGTTGCTTTCAGAACAAATATCTGAAAATCAACGCCACCTTTCTCATGCTAACGTTTTGAACGTCTTAAAGCTCTTGCATTCATCATTCACTTGTTATCTCAATATAATCTGCTTATATTTCAAAGGTGAACCATCTTCTTTCCTAAAGTGTCTTAGACACCACCATCTGCACCAGTTAGTTGTTAGGGATGCACGCGTGAATACTGGCAACACTATTACCAGCTAGCATGACTAGCTGTATCATCCCTACAATGTACACATGCTACATGTTGGACTATCTGTGTACTTATTCTGTTTATTAAATATAGAATTTTAAAATATCCTTCTCCCTGCCAGTAATACCTGAACCCACCTAAATTTTTGGTCCTATCACAGCCCTCGCTGCAGTCCCCTAGTCTTAGTGTCTTGAAACGCACAGCTGGAAGCCTAAACCAAATGTGAAAATGGAGTTACTGGGGGGAAAACTGTCACCTACTGTCCTGACTCTTTCTTCCTACACTCTTCCCATTGCCCTCCCTGCTGCCTCCTCCCCAAGGTAGTTGCTATGTCTTTCAGAGCCTGCCTTCCCCTTCTCCTCCACTTCTGCTGTTGCCTTCCCTACTGGGGACACAGGGACCATCTGCATGAATGCTCTGGGAACTTGGAGGAGCATTGCAGAAAGTTAACTCTGGTTGGGTGTACCTCTTTTTCGACAGCAGTTGCCAGTAATCTGGGAGATGGTAGTAATACACACCCTCCCCTGAGGAGGCAAGAGTGCCTGAAGGTGGGGACACACCACAGAGCAGTTAGGGAGACAGCCTAGTGGCCAGAAAAGGTCTGGGGAAATCTTCAGGTCTGAAGCTAGGATGCCCGTTTGGGTCACTAAAGCAATCTATTGCTTAACTAGTTGCTGGATGAATTTACTCTGGAGACAAGAGTCAGTAAATTAGACTTACTTGTAAATTTTAGAAAGAGCTAAAGGTCACAAGACACTAACTTAATGCCCAGTGCTTAACAAAATCTTTGTGCTTCTATTTTCCACCTAAGAACAGCCACAATACGTCAAACTGAACACCACCCAGCCCAGCTTCCCGTGACAGCAGAGGAAAGCATAACTGCAAGCAGCCATACCCCGAGGCTTCCTCAAAGTATTCTTTGAGCCTAAAAGTACTTGTGGCTTAAGGACCCTTCAGCTGGAGGTAGGATATTTGCATTTAAATACTCAGAGAAATATCCATAGAGGAATCTAGCTAAACACTTTGCATATAGAAAAAGCTTATATGGATTCAAATGGGAACAAACTGCACAGTTCAATTTATACACTCTGTAAAGAAAGGCCACTGTCTCTGTTTAGAGACTCCCGAGATGTTCCTGTTGCCTGCCTGTTCTTGTATTAGAGGAAGAAGAGAATCCCAGGCCTTCCCCAGTTTTGAAGGGGACACTCAAATCGTATCAGTCTTTACTCCTCCTCCCATTGCTTGGGTCACCTCTTGTCCAGACGAGAAGATAAACTATAAACTGACTGACTACTAAACTTGATGAAATTAATATTGTGGGACACCAGACTATACATCTGGAAACATTTTAACTGCTTGAAAATTGAAAGGTATCAACATAATACAAATGAAAGAAAAAGACTCATTTCTGAAAAGCACAGTTCTCACTTCTCAGTTGATTTCCAGAAAATAACAGTAGCTATCCTTTGATCTCAAACTGACATCTCATTTAGTCATTATTAAGGTACTTAGTACTTAATTAAGTATCCCATTTTGGTTATTAGTCAGTATTTAGAAATCCAAACAAATGTAATAATAACTGCTTTTGGTCCAGCCATTAGGAAATAAGTGATGGGTCAATCTAGGACTTTACTTACTTTAAGGAGGAGTCTCCAACACCAAGACATCCTCTCAGACTAAGTTGTCTCAGGAAGCCACCACACCGTTTCGATATATTTTCCACAACACGACCCTTAAACCAAATAAAAGGAAGATTCTGTTGAGTTTTATTCTGACGTGACATTCCAACCAAATTAAAAATGCCAGGAGTGAAGACCAGCCCCAGCTATACCCCACCAGAACTACACCTTTTTGAATTTCTTTTGCTACTTTAAGCAAAAATAGTTACCTGTTGAAAATCTCCACTCACATTGAAGTACTATTCAATTCAATGTTTATTTCTCTCTTCCTTCTTTTCAGTCTATCACACATGGCTCAAATTCTTGTCTCAGCAAAACCTACCCATTAGGTCTGCTAAAATGATCTTCAAGTTTTGTCAGATATGTAGGAAGCCTGAAGAACTGCCCCAGAGATGGAATGGGAGGCATACCCGTTCCTCAGGGATCTCAGTTACTGCTACAGCATGCAAGCATACACTGTCCACGAAGACGTGCTTAGGCAAGCTGAACTGCAGCCTCTGGTAAGTCCTGTTTTCCCATCCCTGCTACAGGAATGGTTACCTCTGCAACCGAAAAGTGCCAAACACCTTGGTGGGAGCAGCCACTTCAGTTGCTTCCAGAAGATTTCCCGGAGCCCCCTTGCCAGTCTTCAACATCATATAAATTTGGGTGTCTGTGCCTAACACTTGGGAATGCCAAAGAACTTACCACACTGTGAAGCTTACAGACTTCATGCCTCGTCATCTGTCAAAAGCCGAGGGACAGCTTACAAACAAAACTTCCTACTTGACCCCACGTCATTGCTACAAAATGCTTTCTATTTATATCCTGAAAGCATGTTTCGCTATACGTTAGGAGTAAGCAGAATGGCACCGTACTTCTAATATTCAATCTGAAAGTAGCATTATACAATAATGTTTTTTAAACTACATGTATACCTTTTTTTTTCCTTTCCCTTTTTTTTTTCTTTTTTCGGTAGGAAAAACAAGATAGCAAAAAGCAGGTGGCCACTGCAAAAATTGACTAATTTTAGGGAGGTAAGGTAAAAGAAATCAACACTGATCATTTAACATACAGGACTAATAGCTAACAGCACCTTTTATTTTCTTCTCTTTTTTTTTTTTTTTTTTGTTTTAAAGAAGGAATACCTATAAAATTACAGGTCAGTGGATTTTTTGTTTGTTTGTTTTCTTCTCTATACAGGATGGTAACAATTTTACTGAAACAGGAAAATGTTTCTTACATTTTGTTGTTCACCTCTGATACCAAAGTCCTGGCTAGCACTATGTGAAAGTATTTTCCAATCAGAGCTTGTTTCTTAGTCCATAAGTAACATTATTTATCTGATCTCTTGTAAGAATTTACACCAAAACAAATAAACAAACTGACAATCATACAAACAAAATGTCTTTTTTTAAAGCTTTCGAATTTGGCAATTACTTCTCAGCAGATCAAATACCTTTACTGTAAGGATAAAGTCTTCAACGAATACCATATAATGCAAGTTCAATCTGCATTGAAGAAAAAAGCCAAACCCTAATGCACTACTCAAAACAGAAATAATGACATAAGTTTTCCCAAACCCATTTGTTTCTTTAAGCGTGTAAAAAACCCAACAAACAGCATATTCAAACAGACAACTTAAGCGCATTCAGATGTGTTTAGCTGTTTGAATAATTCAATGTCACTTAAAAAACTAGTTCTTCAAATTACCCCAGCTTACATTTGGTTTCACATACCAAGATATCCTAAGACACATTTGTCCTGGTTTGGGCTAAACCAGAACTAATTCTGTTTTAGTGCTTTAACTTTTCAGTTAAGTCTCCTCTAACTAACTGCACTTTCTGAATCAGCAGCATGTTTTTCCAGACAGTGACTGCCTCTAGCAGTGATAAGGCCTGATGTTTATAGTTCGTACCAAGGAATGGGATGCTGAGAGGCCCTTGCTTGTACTGTTCTTATAGCGACCAAGGTCACTGCTAAATCTTGTACTCAGTGTTGGGGTGCCGGGAGTGAAAAGGGTCACAAGCCCGTAAAAGGCCGCACCTGCAGGGAGGAGCGAACCGGACAGGTGACCCCAACCTGACCAACAGAGTATTCCATCCCATACGCGTCATATTCAGTATAAAGCTGAGGGATCAGGAGGGTCTCTCTCTCTTCTTTGATGGCCGACATCTGAGGAGAGCTCTGTCTGTTCTTCTGTCATCGATCCCGATCCGTGCATCCCTGAATCCAGTGCCTGAGTCCAGCTCCTGCCTCCCGTCACTGTCTGCTGCCGAGTCCAGCTTGGGGCTGCCCCAGTGCCAGCCCTGCAGTGTGCTGGTGACATATAGTCATCGGGGTGGGGGGAGTTGGGTTCAGTGTTGGTTTTGTATCTAGTTGTATATATTTGTACATTTTGTATATATTTCATTATTTCCTTATTCTTATTATTATCTTTTCTTTTATCATTATTGTTTCATTAAAGCTGTTTTAGTTTTCTTTTCCAAACGGTAAAGTCTTTCTCCCTTGTTCTCTCTCTCCTTTTCCCTCCCTTTTGGGGTTAATAGAGAGTGTCTATCATTTATTAGTGGCCGGCCTAGCCTCAACCCGTGACAACATTTCATTTCAAGAAGATCTTCACACATCTTTGTGATAGCAAAGAAACAGTTTTTCTTTATATTTTTCCCCCTCAATTTATTCTCTACCACATGAGGTCTTAAATACAGAAAATTTCACAAAACCTGATTTTTCATTATTTGATAGTCTCAGATCAAGTAGTGCTTGCTGCTAGGTGAAACATCACCAAGCAGTACAACGTCCAACTGAGCAAAAAGTTGCCAAATACAATTAGCAGCTTTTACCTGTCCTAAATCTATTGGCAAAAAAATATATTACTAAAACAGCTGAAGAAAAAAAAAGTTCTCAGTTCTTAGACACCAAATGTGAAAGTGTATCTCCTTTAAAACTGCTTTATGTAATAATTGCTGGTTTAACATATTCTTATTAATAAATTTAAGGATTATATATTACAAATGTACTTAAATATAATATACCAAAGTAACTGAATTGCTCCAAACCACAATAGCTTCTTATAGCAAAAGAGGATCATAACTTAATTTCATTCCTTCTCCTGAATCCCATGCTAAAACCATAGGATGTCAAAGGGCAACACCACTAGATACAACGTAAGACAAACATATTGAAAACATAAAAATCCAACACTGTGTTTCTGAATAGCAGAAAGATTTCAGACACAGAAAAGGCCTACCAACAGAAGGACCACAGACCTGTGGGGTTTTCGTTATTATTTCTTAGCAAATGAAAAATCGAAGCTTTTTTAAAGGCAACTGAAAAGATGACACGAAAGTTCCAAGTCTTCTTAGACACATTTAGATGCAGATGTCAAAATCTCTCCTCTACCTCTGTAAGATCCTAATTTTTAACATCAGTATAGCAGAGAAGTTTGCAATAAAATTTTAAGAGTGGTGAAAAAAAATTTATCCTATATATTACTGTAAAGCTTTAGGAATAGTTTGAACCATGGTTAGCAAAATATGCAAATGAAATCCATCTGGATTTTATTCATGCAACTAAGAAGCTAAAACATAAAATCCAGAACTCATTACTGTATTCTAAATTTAATTTGTATCATCAAACAGCAAATAATAAACCAGTTCAGATTCAATTAAGGAATTGCATTTCCCCATAGATTTTTGTCTTAATTTTCAGATGTCATATTTTATTGTTATTCACATCCGTGATAGCATTAATGCAGACGTGTCTTTCTATGGAAGACGAGACTGCCCTAATCCTTTCATTATATGCTGAAAAGGACTTTAATCCACATTTATCTGCATTTCAGGCAAGGTTCAAATCTTATAAAACAAATGTTCATAAAACGGTAATCACACCCCAAATCAAATCTAGGCCAGTCAGCGGTAAGAAAAGTTGTTCAGCATTTTACTGTTTCAATCCGCAAGTCCTGTAGCCAAGTGTCAGAGCTTTCAGCACTAGATGGCACCCTCACAGAGAGACTTGGGGCCAGAACAAAACAAGATTATCTTCTAGATAGTGAAAGCAATTCTGAAGGATCTCACCATTTATACCTTTAGTCCCTGGAAATGAGCAGCTTTGAATTTCTAGAGCCCTATATGTATATGATATATGCAAATTATCTGATACAGAGCTGGCAACTAAAATTGAAACACTCATTCAGTGTAAACATACAGCATTCTTTTCCACTTGCTCCTTCACGGTATTATTATCTTGAACTTTATTCTTTAGAACATGTGAACGTAAGCACAGTCTATGGGATACCCAAAATGGGCTATGCTCTTAAACATCCCCATAGGAATGAAAAAACCCACGAAGACACTAACCTCTATATCCGTCTGAAAGTTAAAAAGGTCTATTCTTTGCCAATTGCTTCCATCCAGAGCTAAAACATTCCATGCCTACAGAAAACAAAACCAGTTAGTTTATTACCTCCACTACCTGCTCCCTTCATTTTCCTCTCAGCAAATCAAACGTAACAAACAATACAATTACAGGCAACATTTCTTTTAAAAAAAGAAATATAACTGTAGATATTAGTAGTCATACAATATTAACTAGTCAAAAACATAGAATTTGTGGAAACGAATTTCATATCTACTACATGGGTTACCCTCCAAAGGCTAATTTACACAAAAGCAAGAAATTAAATGTAAAGTTTGTACATGGACACATTTAACGCTCAACTTTTTTTAAAAGCTTTTGTAAATTTGCCTAGTAAGTTACTTTTGCTAGATATATATGGAGAAAAGTAGCTGCAGATGAGACTCCTCCCAATAAAACCACAGTTCCTCAACCTCACTAGTTACTGCTTCTGAGACGAACAGAAATCTTTCAGGAAACTGCTGACTTTCCACTGTTCAGATCTGGCCTTTCCTCTACACGTGCTAAGTTACATGTATGTGTTTGAGAATTTGTCCTTCACTGTTGAAGCAACAGTTGTTCAAAGTAAAACAAAATTAAAAAAGCCAGAGAAACATAAATATAATTAGAAAAATGGAAAAAAGAATACCGCATCCAAATCACAAACAGTTCTGAGAGAAAAATACAACTTATTCAGTCTGGTTTTCTTCCACTGTTTTCTAGGCTTTAGCTGAAAGTTCTAACGAAATCTGATGTCAGTTGACTCACAAAACTTACTGAAGTTGCAGGCCAGGGTGATACGGGTGTAGGAATGAAATAGTTACACACTTAATCATACATTAAAAGAAACAAACAAGAAAACCCCAATAAAACGAAAAACTCCACAAACCAAAACCCAATCCTCATTAAGAAAAGGAAGAAAAGCACAAAATGAAAAAGTTCATTCATGTTGTATAAGAATACACTTCATTGTACACACTTGACGTAGGAACAGAGTATTATTCATTTCAATTCAGAAAAAAAAAAAGCAAGCTAAACATAAAAGCTTACTTAGCATGCTTTCTCTATTATCTTCTGTGTGCCTTTTTCCTTTACTATTAGTCCATCTACTTAACACCTTTTGTACTTGGCAAGCAAATGATGGATGTACTTCTCAGACACATGGTGTACATTAACTGAACTACATGGAATTTTAAGCAGAAAATGCATCTGAAAAATAGTGTTACACAGCCACATGCTTTATAAAAAGCAAATGCCATCATGCCAAACTGAGCTTAATCCTTTCTCCAGATACAGAGCATACCCAACTGGATATCTTTTCCGTAGCCTTTAAACAGAAGTCCAGTACATAGCAACTAAGTCCACACCTGAATGCAAAACTGAACCCACTGTTTATTTGTTTTAATAAATAAAGAGACTGAGAACTGTTTTGGTTTTTTGTGGGGTTTTTTTGTTTGTTTTTTTTGTGTGTTTTGGGTTTGGGGTTGGTTGGTTTGTTTGTTTGGTTTGGGGTTTTTTTGGTTTTTTTTTTTTTTTTTTTTTACAGGAAGCAGATTGCCCTAAAGCCTGTGATTTGCATATAATTAAGAGAATAACATCCCAGAGAACAACAAAAAACTCCATCAGAAAAACATACCTTGGAAACTTGTGCACATCGACACAAAGTAACTATGTCCAAGAAAGAAAATATTCTAGGAAGAAAGGAAAAGAACAACAATTAAAATGTTTTATTATAAATTCAGACTAATACATGGATTCACAGTTCTGTAGTTCTATGGAGAGACACCAGTTACACAAGAATCAAGTTAAATGAAATATGCATGTTTTACCCAATTACTTTGCTTATTGAGACTTAAGGAATAATATTGCAGCTATCATCTAAAGACAGCCAACACCAACACATTAGAACCAGCAAGTGCTGCTTCTGAAAAATCTATTTTCTGTTTCCCCCTCCTTACTACCCAAACACGTACGAATGGTAAGTTATCCTTCTTTTTAATTCAAAGAAACTAGCTTCTATACCTTTAATTGTGCTACAATTAAAGAAATAACTTACACAAATACAGGTGAAGATTTCAGAGGCTGGTGAAGAGTAAGAAATGGAAAACAACACATAGATATACCCAAGTTCAAGAATCTAAGTACTAACACAAAGAATGATGACCCAAATTTCTAAAGGGGTTTCACAGTGACTACCAACTCTATCAGAGTATCTTTTTTTAATTTACTCTACAAGAAACAACTACAATTGAAAATTTAGCATTACTATTCTGATCACAGAACCAATTCCTCAAGGTAGATAACTCTTAATAGTTTCCTGAGTTTTTCAACATCAGAATTAAATTTGCTAAATACCATTTCCAAACAACAATGAAATTGGTTCAAAAGATGTTGTCAAAAAAAAAAAATCATTAGCTTAAGCACAAAATTACATCATATTCCAAAATAATTTTGTTACAGAGAATGAAAAATACGAAATATATGAACGATGTTACTGTAATTCACTTATAAACTGTTACCTGCTTACCAATGATCTTTTTCAGTCATCGAAACTATGAACAGTAATAATAACAATTTCATCTTACAGAGAGATGTTAACACTGAAAAGCAAACAACTGGTAAGAGATGATGAATTTAATCATGTAAAATTCTGGTTACTCTTTTCCAAGGGGAAATCTGAAGCTAGAGCTCAAAATGGATGCCTGCATCTTAAGGGCGGTGATTTTTAGCTGTGGTAAGAGTCAAAAAAAATGTAATGGAAGTTAATGGAAGTACTTCTTAAACATAACAGCTGTCTGGACATTTATTACGATCCCTTCGGATATTCGTTTTCCAACATTTAACACATGAAAATACTTTCTCTTTTTCACCGTACAGTAATACATTTTCTCAAAAACTACTACCCATGCAAACAGAAGGACAGACACTCTCAGAAGCTATGAATTAATTTATAGAACCCTGTAATAACATTGCTTTTGATAGTATCTGTTTTGTCTTTGCACATCCATACTGAAGTCTGCCCCCTTTAAGAAAGGTAGCAAATGTTCTATGCACAAAGTACACAATGTGCACAGCAAGATTGCTGGACTGTTCAGATAAGCACTGAAAGCATTCTCTCTCTTTTGAGAGCAGCATTTATACCAATGACCCACCACAAACCCTCTTCTGAAGTCCCGCCACGGTGAGGCAAACAGCAGAAGATGAGGGTGTGGAGGTTATGCTAGAGAGCTGCAAAAGCTTCTTGGCTTGTAGAAGCTTCCTGATAGCACCACTGTATGAGTAGAATCAGAGGGTTATCTCAGATTTTCAGAAGCTGAAGTACAAAAGATGGATTTCTATGTTATCTGTGACAAAGAAAGGAAGGGCTGTGACAAACCATTTCATCACACACCACTCTTGCCTAAATGAAGTACATAACATGCTTTAAAAGTGATGTATCAAGTTCTACTGAAATAAGAAACAACAGAAGAAACTGTAAGACATTGAGGAAAGGGTATTTTATACACCCTCACTACTCTGAGTTGTCTGGCAGTCTGTCTTCGTGTTTGTTTACTGCTGTTAAGAGACTAACGTTGATGAGTGATTTCTGCTAAAAAGTAAATTAAATGCAGAAAATAAGTATTTATTTTTGCTCCATTCTGTATGAAGTGACTTTTTAAAACATGGTCATTCAATGTTAAAAGGATAAATATTTTAGTAAGTGTAAACATTTATGATACTTTTAGGTTTTCAATTTTTGTTCTAAAGAAGAAATGTTCTTGCAAGGGGGCCTAAGCTGTCCCCATCAAAACGGACAACAACATTAGGATGCATTATAACCCAGTAAAATCGGAGTGATTATTATTCAATTAAATAATATGATAGGTAAGAGAAGCCAATAAATTCTTTTACAATTCTGATGAGTCATTTTGCCAACTTGCTTGAAAATGGTTTTTTTCCACATTTTTCTATTTATTTACACTCTATAGTACAGTGTTACATGTGCACCAGTAACACATATTTGCTTCTCTACTTGCAGCCCACAGAACTACTAGAAAATACTTACAAGTCAGGGAAACTAGCCAACAAGACACAAGACTCTAAGGTTTAAGGTAATTTAAAGTCTTTAGAAAGCCTTTAAAGCCTTTAAGAGACTTTAAACGCAACCAACAAACTGAGAAGGAGATGGCAACGCTGACAGCGTCAGACATTTGTCAGTGTCAGACACAGCCAGTGCCAGAATGACATTGTCTGGTGCTTAGGGTGAAGGACTATGTCAGCAGGCAGTTGTAATTTTAAAAAGTGGAAAAAACTATCGAGTAGGGCAGCTGATGGTTGTATAGCACTTCTGTCCTCAATGACCATAACTACATAGAGGGAAGCTAATGCAGCCAGCAGCAGGATTAATTTCCACTTAAGTCTTTGGCATGGATTAGTACAGGGAAACTGGAAATCAAGTTAATAGATCCACAGTAAAGTCTAGGATCATCCATTCTGTTTTCCAGTATCCCAAGCTATTAAATTCTCCATAGTTATCCTGGATCGAGCTCAAGAAGAACTCACTTACCAACAATCGGAGCTGTTCAAGACTTCTCATCCCTAGGCACGTACCACTCTGGACACACGCCTCATGAGTTTGGCCTTGGAGATCTTTCAACGTTACAGCCACTGAAGCACGCGTGAGCTTCATGCGAAAGGCACGGAGGGCTCTACAAGCTCACAGTTTCTCAACTCCTTTATGGTAAGCTTGTATTTGACTACAGCCTAACTTCCAGAAAAGGATCTATTCTTGATTTGAAAGCCAAGAGATGGAAAATCACCACCTTCTCTGGTAGTTTGTTCCACTGGTTAATCACTCTGTTAAAATGTTTGCCTTATTTCCAAGGTGAATGTCTGACTTACAGCTTTATGATTTTTTTCTACTTTTCTTCACCAAATTATAGAGTGCTTTAACAGTTAGTACTTTCTCCTCATCGAGTTTTAAAGCCACTTATCACGTCACATTTAATTCTTCTTTTCAACAATCTTTTTAGTTGTTTAAATCTCATTTTCTCTGCACATTCTTTATTTTTCCAGTATGTTTCTTCAAATGTAGACATCAGAAGCATGAGCAGCATTAAAAAAATTTATTAGTATCAGCAAAGCTGTACACAAACATAAAGTATGAATTCACTACCCCTATTTTCAGAGCCATTCCAGGCCACTGTAACAGCCTTTCTGACACAGCATTAGACAAGAATCTTACAGTACACCTTACCCATTTCACCCTCACATCCTCTTCTGGGAGTACACACTCCAGGCCACAGCTCTTTCTGTAGCATTCCTTAGTCTTGTAAATTCATCCACGTAAAAGTAATCTGTAAAATTAATCTTGTTTGAACACACTCCAATTTAGCATGTTATTCGGACTTCCTTAGGAGTGCCTTGCCTTCAAAGTAGTTTACCATTACAGTTCTTTTTGTGTCATCTGTAACTTACTATGACTTCTGAAGCAGCGATTTCCAAAGCATTAAAGCCCTACCTGTGAATTGCTGCAACAACTGTTAACCAATCCTGAATCCCTTTAACATGCACTGATATACTGCACACACAAAGTGCTACTTTTTAAAATGAAAAGGTCAAATGATAAAGTCAAACGCCTCAGTAGAAACATGTCATTTTGGTTGGTAAACCCAACCAATTGCTTAATCTCGAAGAATTATATTGTCCAATCACTTATTTTCCAGAAAACCACAACAACTGTCAGTTACATTCCTCTCTCTCAACTTTCTGTCAAACAATCTATGGTGAGTTTTTCTACTGCATGCTGAATGTGAGGCTGAGATTTCTGGTCATCTCTCCCTTGCCTAGTTAAAAGTGTTGCAGTCAGGATTCACACTCCTCTAGTCTTCTGAAATTTCCTTGATACCCAAGACACACCAAAACTCAGCATAAGTGGGCCACAGACCTCCTCAGTCACCTTTTTAAGGCATTTTCACTGCAATTTATATGGTCCTGCCAACTGCAAGAAGTGATGATCTACAATCTCATCTTCCCATATATTTCCACACATGCTTCATTATTCCCGTGTGCGATAAACAGACTGTTCTGTGTCTTTCCAAACACAGAGATGGCTGACTCCTAATATTTTGTTTCCCTCCCCATGGAGCCATGGAAAGAAACAGCTATTTCTCAAAACCCCAGCACTGTACAGTGTACCACCTACAGAGTGAGAAATCAAACTGTGCAAGAGTCAAACTGCTTCTCTCTCGCCTCTAAGGCCTTTCCAAATTTGATCACATAAGGAACAAGCTTTTGCAGTAATGGCCTGGCAATTACTCATTTTAAGTATTTTGATACAATACTATATGTTTTGATAAAAAGTGGGTAACAAAATGCATACAGTACGTACCACACACACATACTGTGACTTCCCAGAATTTCTGGCCCAAAACCCAAAATTTGGTATGACATAAATGCCTGATAATTTCTAAAAAACTTCAGCAATAACTTAAGGTAGGGTTTTCTTAATAACCGACTTGTGAATGGGATTCTATTTCAGAACTACAATTTTTCACGTTTTAAATTGGTTTTGTACACAAAGAATGGTGACAAATTGTATCAAAATGAAAACCACAACAATAAGGATGAGAGATGCCTGACTGAAGACAGCACATTATTTAGATAATCTGCTCAGAAGACCCTTTCAATTTCAGCATGCCATCCCATTGTT